TAATTGATGAAGCACCTTCTTCTGGGTAGAGGGGGTGTGCCTGCAGGGGCTGCTGGTCACTTCCCACCAATTCATTTCTGACAGCCGCCTCCTAGCCCAGTGCATGGCGAAGACCAAGGGTCAATAAATGTCTGCCGAATTCACGTGCTCTGTTGGCCGGTCTGCATGCCTCCGTGGTGTCTGGGGCTGTCTGCAGTGGGACCACGGCTTGGGGAACAATGACAGCAGATCATAGGTATTTGAAATCTGGAGAAAGAATGTGTCCCCGTGGTGGCAGAAGTTGACTGGCTAGGCCCGTTAAATGCCATTCACTGGGAAATCGGGGTGGGCCTGGGACTACTTAGAGCCCTGGCTTATGAGCAGTGAGCCCCCCTCTTCTAACCCCTCATGGTCACCCAGCCTCCTCCTGTCACCTCGGATGCTCTGGCTCCAAGGCTGTCTTGTTTTCCTAGAGAGCTCTGCAGCTGAGCCTGGCTGCTCTTCCTCTGCTCCTTGGATCCCTGGGGGCTCTGTCGACTCTTGGATGGACCCATGGGCAGGGCACCTGAGGCCCTGGGGTTGGCCGCCTCCCAGATGACCTCCCAATGACATCCTTCCCCGACCCGCTACTCACACCTCAGTGCGCTGAGGTTTCCTTGCGTGACCTCTAGAGGCGATGGGATGTCACTTCAAGGTTAGGTTTCATGTTTTCTCCTGCCATCTGTCTCCACCTCTCTCTCATATCATTCGCCCTGGGGAAGCCTGCTGTTCTTCCCTATGGAGAGACCGCCCATTGTGACCTGTGCCTTCCTGCCAACAGCAATGAGTGAGTTTAGAAGTGGAACCTGCAGGCGCCAGCAGACGGTGTAGCAGTTACTTCATCGGACTCCCATGGAGGCCTCTTAGTTTGAGTCCTGGACTTGGTGGCTTAAAACGCATGCTGGGTGCATGTGCATGCATGTTCAAGATCCCAGGATGAAAATGAAGAAGGGATTGTGGAGTGGCCATCTCTCCCTCCTCTGCGAGTATACATGCCCTAAGGCAAAACTCTTTTTTTTTTTTTAAAGGAGATTTTTGCTATAGCGCACGTGCGCTTGCTGGAGAAACAGAGCAAAAAGTCACCACCTCCCCCCTTTGGGGGAATGGCCACGCCACAATCCCTTCTCCTCCATTATCTCCTTGGGATTTTGGGAATGTATGCACATGCTCCCAGCACAATTTTTTTTTGTGGGGGAAGGGGGAGAGGTTTTTGCTATAGGGCATGTGCACTTGCCAGAAAGAGAGACAGAGAGACAGAAAGCGAGAAATCATCCCCCGGAGGGATGGCCATGCCGAAATCCCTTTTCCTCCATTCTCCTCTTGAGATATTGGGCACGCACGCACACATGCCCGGCATGAGTTTAAGTCACAGGGTCTGGGACTTGAACCGCGGTCGACTACATGGGAGTCCAGCAACATAGCCATTATGCCAACTGCTGGTCCCTTCTGGCATGAATTTAAAACCATCAAGTCCGGGACTCAAACCACGTTAGACTATGTGGGAGTCCAGCAATGTAACCATTATGCTATCTGCTAGTCTCTGCTAAAACCTCTTAAAAAAAAAAAACGTAAAAGTAGAGAATAGCAGATGGCATAACGGTTACGTCACTGAACTAACCATGGCTCGAGTCCTGAACCTGGCTGCTTGAAACTCATGTTGGGCGTGTGTACATGTGTGCCCAAAATCCTGAGAGGAGTATGGAGAGGGATTGCGGTGTGACCATCCCCCTAGGGGGTGATTTCTCACTGTCTCTCTGGCGAGTACATGTGCCCTATAGCAAAAAAATCTCTAAGCGAAGTCTCCAGTCCCACTGAGTTTTCAGGTGAGACCACAGCCACTACAGACATCTTAATTTTATGAGAGACCCTAACCAAGAACCACTAGCTGGATTCCTGACCATCGGCAACTGTGTGAGATAATTTTTTTTTTTAAGGTTTTGCCATGGAGGTGGGGTTAATCACTGAATGACGGAGACATTCTCTCTCTGACTATGGGTTGGTTTCCTGGGTGTATACATATGTCAAAACCTAGCAAACTGTACATCTCGATATTCACAGTTCATTGTATATTAATTGTACCTCGATAAAGTTATTAAAAACAAAATGAGAAAAAAAAATCTATGTGAAGCATTTAAGATCGCCCTGTGTGTTAATAGCTCCATTGAAAAGTAGTTCTTATTTTTGAGAGCTGATAGACTGAAAGGGAAAGATGTGAAAGAGGCTACATGGCTCCAGAAAGGGGGACAGGCAACTCCTCAGAAAGCGCTAACCACTCCTTTCTCCGATGCAAGAGGGCAGGTCTAGGGCAGGAGCAGCTGGCTGAGGCCTGCTCTCAGCGGAGCCCTAGTGCCCTCTAGTGGCCTCTCCAGGTACAGCAGTCTGAGTTCCTCTGCCTCTGACCTTGAGGCACCAGAGCACACCTACCTGGTACCAAGATGACTCTACCTCGTCTTTGTAGGATCTGCTGCTGGGACAACTGAAAGCCCACATGGGAATAAAATAGGTCACGTGATAACCTCCCATCATGAGGTTTTTTTTTTTTTTTTTAGATTTTTAGAGCACACACACTCGCTGGAAAGAGAAGGAAAATGAGAACCCCCCCTCCCCCGGGGGGCAATGGCCATGCCTCAATTCCTTTCTCTGCATTCTCCTCTGGGGATTTTGGGCACACACACACACACACACACACACACACACTCACCTGGTGTATTTTTCTGGACGCTAGGTCTGGAACTCGGAACTGTGATCGACTATGTGGCATCCGGCACCTTAAGTTCTGCGCCACCTGCTGGTCCAATAAAATGCTACTCTTTTTTTTTTTTGGAGAGGTTTTTCACTATAGGGCGCGTGCGCTCGCCAGACAGAGAGAGACATAGAGACAGAAAGCGAGAAATCACCCCCCAGGGGGGATGGCCACGCCGCAATCCCTTCTCCATTCTCCTCTTGAGATCTTGGGCACGCATGCACATGTGAGTTTTAAGCCACCGGGTCCGGGACGCAAACCGCGGTTGACTACGTGGGAGTTCAGCGACATACCCATTACGCTAACTGCTGGTTCCCAAAATGCTACTTTTTTAAGAGAGAGGTTTTTTTTTGTTTTTTTGTTTTGTTTTGTTTTGTTTTTGCTATAGGGCAGGTATGCTTGCAGTAGAGACAGAGAAAGACAGAGAGATAATGTGAGAAATCATCCCCCAGAGGGGATGACCACACCTCAATCCCTTCTCCTCCATTCTCTTCTCTGGGTTTTGCATGCATGCTCACATGCCCAGCATGAGTTTCAAGCCTCCAGTTCTGGGACTCGAACCATGATCAACCCTATGGAAGTTCAGCAACATAACTTTTACACCATCTGCTGGTCCTAATATCCCACTTTTTTTCTTTTTTTTTTTTTGGAGAGATTTTCACTGTAGGGCGCGTGCGCTCGCCAGACAGACAGAGAGAGACATAGAGACAGAAAGTGAGAAATCACCCCCCAGGGGAGATGGTCACGCCGCAATCCCTTCTCCTCCATTCTCCTCTCGGGATCTTGGGCACGCACGCACACGCGCCCGGCGTGAGTTTTAAGCCACCGGGTCCGGGACACGAACCGCGGTCGACTACGTGGGAGTCCCGCGACATAGCCATTATGCTAACTGCTGGTTCCCAGATCCCACTTTTAAAGCACGGTGATGGTATCCAGTACATAGTGAGCACTGGATGCATATCAACCATGGCTGCTGTTATCACCCCAGGGAAGAAGGCAGGCACTGATGCAGGGATGAGCTGTCTGTACTCGCCCCTGCCCCACAGTGATTCTGAAGCCACTGGGCTTGGGACTCAAACCATGGTCAGCCATGTGTGAATCCAAGGCCTTAACAACCATGCCACCTACTGGTCCTCCCATTTTCTTTTTTAAATGTAAGGATCTTTAGGATATTGTCAGGACTTTGGGGACAAAGAGTTTGGTTGATTGTCTTAGATTTTTTTTTTTCTGCTGTAGGTGTGTGTGCTCACCAGAGAGACAGAGACAGAGACAGAAAGTGAGAAATCACCCCCCAGGGGAGATGGTCACGCCGCAATCCCTTCTCCTCCATTCTCCTCCTGGAATTTTGGCACGCTTACACATGTGGGAGTCCAGCGATGTGACCATTATGCCATCTACTGGTCCCCAGAATTCCTTAAAAAGAGAAAGAGTGGTGGTTGGAGTGCTGGACTCCCACATGGGTTTAAACAGTTCAAGTCCCAGACCTGATGGCTTACTTTCTCACTTTCTCTCTTTCCCTGGTGAGCACACATGCCCTATAACAAACTTTAAAAATAATAATAAATAAAATAAGTAAGTTAAAAAGAAAGAGCTGGGGCCAGCGGGTGGCGTGGTAGTTAAGGCACTGGACTCCCACATGGCTGACTGTAGTTCGAATCTCGGGCTTCTTTCTTGCTATCTTTCTCTGGTGAGTGCACATGCCCTACAGCAAAATTTAAAAATGATCCTAGGAACTTGGACATTCTCCAAAGATGTTCCAGAGGGGCCACGTGGTGGCACACTGATAACACATCTGGATGTGCATGAGTCCAGGATGCACCTGTGTGGGGGCCTGATCTTGGCCAACTGGGGCTGGGCTGATAGTGGCGTAGGGACCCTGCTGGGTTGTTTGTCTCTCTGTCTCTGTCTTCTTTGTGGAAAAAAGTCAGTAGACAAAGCAAATTAAGAAAGCAAAAAATAAACGTTCCAGAATGTTCGCTGCAGCACTATTTGTCATAGCTGTGAATGGCAAGCAACACACGTGTCCATCCAGAGATGCAGCCCTGCAACATGGCCACGCACTCACGTCTCCAGTTTGTGGCATGAAGTGAAAGAAGTAGACACACAAAGGCTTATAGGGTGTGAGTTCCTCATGGGATGGCCCCCTCTGCTGGGTTCTGGTGGTGGTTACTTTCTGCAGACACATCACACTCCCCTCCTGTCGCATCCTTCGTGGGCATCACACATGAAGCAGAGAACCCAGCCTCCCCCTCCTGATGGCACTCTTACCCTCCACTGTCACCCCTCAGCTGCTCACCCAACTGGTCCATACTGGCTCCACCTCCCATATCTTGAGCCCCAGAACCTTGAAAGCGTTTTGGTCCAAGGCCGCTTCCTCACAGGGGTCTTCAGCTCTTCGGCTCCGCTCTCCCCATTCCATTTCTTGCTTAGATTGCTCCATCTTTCCTCTGCTCCGTCCTTTTGACCTCCAACTCCAGGCTTGCTTAGGAAGGGGCATGGTGAGCTCAAGGTCAGGGTTTCCTGGAGAGTGGGGGTGCCCACCCACTCTACAGCTGAGCGGGCTAAGAGCAGAGGTATCGGGATCCGCTTTGTGACTTAACCAGCTGTGTGACTGTGTGCAAGTTACCCTCTCTGTGCCTCACTGAGCTCTATTAGGAAAGAAGTGTCCTCCCAGTGCTGCCTCTCAGGATGGATGAGTTAATGGAAAAATGCTCAAGAGAGCCTTCCCAGGGAGGTCCAGCACAGAGGTCATGTCACCCCTGCCGGCCTTCTCCTGGAGGCTGGTTTGCCTGGGGTGGTGGTACCGCACTCCTTTCCTGGAGGAAGAGAGCTCCCTGCTACCCCCATTTTAAGTCCCGTTCACAGGAGCTGAGTGGGTAGAGATGTGGTGGGGTGAGCCCACTTTCTCCTTTTGACCCCTCCCAACCCTTCTCCGAGAACCAGAGTCCATACCCATTTGAGGATCCTCCACCGAGAGCCCTCGATGGCCCCGCTTGCGCCGGTCCCCATAGGCAGATTCAACAGCAGCACTGGGGGGCCTGGGAGCCCCTGGAGGTCAGACCAGGGAAGCACAAGCCCTCTCTGGTGGGCGGCGCCCCATCTCTGGAGGAGCTGGGAGAGATCTCAAGTTTCAGTGAGAAACGAAAGAGCAGAATGGTCTTTGGCTTGGGAAAAGAGGCCTGTGTGCTGTGGCCAGTGGCTGACCTGACTTCGACGTGGGCCAGCTTCGAGCCTGGCCCTCTGCCAGAAAGACGTTCCTCACGTAGCCAGAGGCCCAGCAAATGCCATTTATTTGTGGCTTGACCCTGATGCTGGCACGGGCCACATGTGACCACAGAGATGGGGTATTTTGGGCAGCAGAGGTGGAGCCTGTGTGGCGAGCCCAGCACCATGCCGCTCTGGGACAGGCCTCTCAGACACCAGCCACTGCAGGGACTCAGGTAGGACTCGGGCAGCCCCCTCCTTCCTGTCCTAAGAGGTCCTAATGGTGTGCAGTCTCCATGGAGGCCTCTCGAAGGGCCACAGAGGGGGGCTGAGGTCAGCGGGTGGGAAGCCGTAGTTCTCTGGGCTCAAGGTATCTTCAGGCATCTCCACCTCAGGACTGTCCTAGCCAGAGAAAACTCCCTCTCAGATCCAGCGTAGCTGACCAAAGGCCAAAGGGCAGCCCCCTGTGGCAGCAGAGGCTGCAGGCTCTTAGGCGGCTAGCATCTGTCACCTTGGTACACTGAGACAAGCAGAGGAAGGGGAGCTTAGCAGACCTGGGTCAGGGGTGCAAGCCCTGAGGACACCCCAAGGTGGCGCCTGGGAGTTGGAAAACTCACTTCCACTCCTTACCCTCCTGCCCAGGCTCTTCCTGCTGGCCCCTGAGCTGACTCTGGCCAGCACCAGTGTGACCTTGGAGAGCTCTGAGGAAGCCTGGCCACAGGGACTGTCCAGTCAGCCTGTTCCAGCCAAGGCTAGTGGAAGGTCATCGCCAAAGGCTAGTCACCTGCTGGACACCACAGTCCTTCTCCCTGTGGCCAGCTGCCACCTGGGGCACATTGGGATAGGCAGGGCTGACCATCACTGGAGAGAACTTATCCCAGGTGGGTGGCCCTGGTACAGACACTGTTGGAGGAGGCAAGGCTGAAAAGGAAATGCTCACAGGGAAAACCATTCTGAGAACCATCAGTGCAGCCAGGGGAATACTATTTTCTTTCCTTCCTTCCTTCCTTCCTTCCTTCCTTCCTTCCTTCCTTCCTTCCTTCCTTCCTTGCTTTCTCTCTCTCTCTCTTTCTTTCTTGAGAGTGTTTTATATGGTGCATGCGCTTGCTTCCTTCCTTCCTTCCTTCCTTCCTTCCTTCCTTCCTTCCTTCCTTGTTTTCTCTCTCTCTCTCTTTCTTTCTTTCGAGAGTTTTTGCTATATGGTGCATGCGCTTGCCAGAAAGAGAGAGACAGAGAGACAGAAAGTGAGAAATCACTCCCTATGGGGGATGGCCATGCCGCAATCCCTTCTCCTCCATTCTCCTCTCGGGATCTTGGGCATGCACGCACACACGCCCGATGTGAGTTTTAAGCCACCGGGTCTGGGACTTGAACAGCGGTCAACTACATGGGATTCAGCGACATAGCCATTACGCCAACTGCTGGTCCCTATTTTCTAGTGTATATCGTTAATGTAAATTTTACTTGATTTTAGGACTGTAATACCATGCCATTGTACAGTTACCATTTGGGGTTGGTTTGGAAATAGCGAAAGTGGGAATTGAGGATTTTCTAGCTCGGCAGAATCACTTACGCTTAAGTGATTCTTAAGGGTCCCAGCCTTGCTTCTGGGACCCTGCTCTGCTTTCTTTCAGGGTGGAGATGGAGTGCCAGGGAAGTGGGGGCATCCCTGAGGGTGGGTGGGGTGGTGGCCATGTGCGCAGGTCAGTGCCCAGTGCCTGGATCCATGAAGACCCCACCTGGCCCCAGGTTCTGCTGCCCCCCAGGCACTTCTGCTGAGCCGAGATGGAAAACTTCCAGTACAGTGTCCATCTGAGTGACCAGGACTGGGCTGAGTTCTCAGCCACTGCTGATGAGTGTGGCCTCCCACAGGCCAGCCTGGCTTCTGGGGATGAGCTCTTATCTAGTGACATTGACCAAGGGGACAGCAGTGGCAGCAGTCCCCCTGGGCCCCCCTCCTTCTTCACTGGGCAACTGGCTCCAGCAGGGAGGGGTTGGCAGAGCTGTGAGGAGGAGGATGATGACGTGGCCACCCAGCAGCTGGTCAGCAGGTCTCAGTGTGAGCCTGTCCTGGCCCTGGGGGCCTGTCAGCAGACACCCGGCACGTCCACACAGTCAGAAGCTCGACCGTCCCTCGGCTCTGGTGCCACCCCTCTGGGCCAGAGCTCACCCGTCCTGTGGCCAGAGTCTTCTGGAGACGACATGCAGCGACTTTTGAAGGGCCCTGCTCCCAGCCCCCCTGGTGAGCCCCCTCCGAGTCCTGAGTCCCCTGGCCGCAGTCCTGGAGGCCCACCACGGAGCCCTAGCCGAAAGAAGAGGCGAGCTGTTGGTGCAAAAGGGAGTGGGCGCTTGGGAGCCCCTGGCCCTGCTCCTGCCCAGCTGGAGACCAGACCTGAGGAGGGCCCTGGTCTGGCTGGATCCAGGGAGAAGAGTCCTGTGGCTGAGATGACAAAGGTCACAGGAGAAGCTGGACAGGACAAATGGGGGTCAGGCTCTTTAGAAAGTCCTCCTGAGCAGGTTGCCCAGCAAGGGTCAGGTGTGGACCTGTCTACATCTGTCCCTGTAAGTGAGCAAGGTGTACATGGAGTCAGAACAACTCACGGTGCTCAGCTACTCATGGCACTCACACCTGTGCAAGAGGCTCATCCGGACGTTTCAGTGGCTAAGCCAGATGTGGCTGTGTCTACACCTGCCTGTGAGCCTCAAGCTGATGTGACTGTGTCTATACCTGATTGTGAGCTTCAGCCAGACATGGCTGTGTCTACACCTGCCTCCAAGCCTCGACCCGA